AAGGGGTGTGGCGTCTGTTGTGTGTGTGTGTGTGTGTGTGTGTGTGTGTGTGTGTGTGTGTGTGTGTGTGTGAGACAGAGTAGAGAGTGAGATGGTCAGCAGTAGTTTCATTTTACTGGATCAGCTTCAGAACTTTTCTAATTGGAGGTTTTAGTTGTGGTCGTTGCTGAGTTCAGGGTTTTTTTTTTTCCACCGACCCCAATCCGCCTCCATCCATACCTCCCTCCTTGGTCCTCTCTCTTCCCTCCACCACCCTCCCCCTTCGTGCCCAACAGCTAAGCTCTTACAAATGTGTTGAGGATGCATTTTCACCGAAACGCTTTCCCACCCCCTCTCCCCCTCCCCATCCCATTCCTCCTCACTGGCGTTCCTCCCTCCATCCCCTCCTCTGTCCTCCTCCCTAATCACTTGCTTCTCTCTTTTTCTTCTCTTCTTTCTCCCTTGTCATTTGCACCCCCCACCCCATCCTCTCTCCATACTCAGCATTTTTCTCGGCTGTGGGTGTGATGTCTCCGCTGTAACGCTAATCAGCTCTGGAGACGTCAGCATTCTTCCAGTCCTCCTTCACCACCGCCAGCAACCCCCCCACCACCACCACCTCGTCTGTCTTCACCTCACTATCTTACATCTCCTCACACTTTTCTCCTCGCTTTATCTGTTTTCCTCTTCTAGCCGTATTTTACTCATCAGTGCTTCTCACCTCTTCTTCCACCCCTGTCCCCATGTCCCGTCCTCTGTGTGTGTGTGTGTGTGTGTGTGCGTGTGTGTGTTGTTACACCACTGTAACTGTAAGCAGCTCTGCTCTTGAGTCGTCAGCGTTCTTTTGGTTGCTCCATAAAAATACAGCCTGCCACAGCAAAAAAGCTGTCTGTTGTAGCAACAGTGGCTGTGGCATTGACCACACCGCAGCGACCACCCTGCAAGCATTATGTGAAGGACACCTCTGGCACTTTGTGTGTGTGTGTGTGTGTGTCCGGGTGTGTATGGCCAAGATGAATAGCAGTGCCTTTGCTCAGCAGATGATCCTTAACCTGCGTGACTTACACATAGCTTGAGCAATCCAACAACAACAACACACACGCACACACACCAGTTATTTGCAGTGTGGTGTAGGTCAGGTTTTTTGTTGTCTAACCTTGATGAAATAGGACCCATATTTAATGTACTGTCCTCCAAGTGTTTACAACTAACACTAGTACTCATGCTAGCTACTATTACAGATGTGTACAGCTGAAGCAGTTAATCAATTATTTGACTAACCAAAAATTAAAGGTGCACAGTTTATTTTTTATTTTTGTAAACAACCAAAAGTTCTATTTAAATTTCTAACCAAAACACATCATGTGTGTCCTTGAGGCCATATGCAATGCCACAACTTTTTGAACATGTGTTTGAACAACAGTGTTGTCTATATTGACTTCTGGCACATTGATGTGTTACCGTTACCAACTGTCCATCAGTGGAATAGTGTGAAATCGCTGACAGGACTGTAAATTGTCTTGCTGATATGCATGTACTTTAAACGATACCTTTAATCTGCATCAGTTTTGATATCCATACTTTCTGTGACAGTCAGTGAGGCATTTGCAGATACCAAAAAAAAAAAATCTACAAAGTAGCTGTATCAGTATTTGTAAAGATGCTACAAATACCTTTTGTGCAGCTGCAGTAATTCCATTTACTAGTTGATTTTGTCTAAGACAGCTAAAAACGACCTAACATTTTAATTGTTATGTCAAATATGGACTCAAACCTCTGAACTACATGTGCACAACACTGTATGTTTAGTGTCTGCACATATCATGCATTGTTTAGCAGACAGATGGAGAACGTTTGTGCACTTGCATTAGACCATTTTGTGTGTGTGTTTTATTGTGCCCCACCGGCATGGCAGCAGGGGAATGTGTGTGTGTGTGTGTGTGTGTGTGTGTGTGTGTGTATACAGTATGTGTTGGCAGCATACTTTTTGTATGTAGATGGGGGTTGGGGGAGGACGTGTTGAGGTTTTGGCACAGGGGAAATAAAGCAGTGCCTGGCAGGAAAACTGCCTCCTTCTTGCCCCTTCTGTTTTCGCTCTCTTCTCCACCTCCACCCCCACCAGCCACTCTCACTCTTCCCTTTGATCCGTCTATTGTCCAAAGACAGCTCCAGCTGTGTGAGGTTGCATCCCAACAAAACCCACGAGTGCAGTAGTATGTTTGGGAGGCAGACATAGGTAGAAACTCTATATTTACACAGTTAAATGAAAGATTGTTTATAACTGACCTACCCTGTTAAGACGTTCTTGTGTTGTGTTCAAGTCAAACATTCAGGAAGCACAACTGAGGCTCCATCAGAGTATAAATGTGAAGAAAAGGCTAACATTGCTGCTTTCCACAGTCTTTAGAGTCATTGACATAACTTTGAAGTTGCTCTGTCTTTGCCATGTTTTCTGTGCGACTGTGCTGTGTGTGCGTGTGCTGTCGTTATGTTTTTCTTTGATCTACAACTATTTATAACTAAGATTTGTGGAAGTTTACACACAAACACGTACGCACCATCACAGACAACCAGAGGTGCATTGTGGGTGGAGGCTCACTGGCATGCTCAACGCTGATCCTTTTGATAGAAAAGAATAAGAGTGAAACAAGAGCAGACACGTGTCCTTAAGTCACATAAATGTCATCACTTCCCAAACAAGGATTTAAAATATCCAGCTTGTGAATGAAATATAGGAAATATAACTTCATTCCAAATCTGGGCCTAGTGTGAAATACACAACAAGGTCTAAGTACAGTATATATAGTGAGAGAAGGGCCTTTAATCAGGTGACTGGATGAACTAAAGTTCAGATTTGTAGTATCAGGTGTGTTGGTTTGGTTGAAAATTTGGGTTTATATGCTTTTAAGAATTGTTTGCCCTGTTCACTGTCCTTTAAACAGTCATAGCTTAGCCTGGGAGATATCATTTGGATGGATGGGGGTTACAAAGTGACCGTGGAGGGCAGGAGAGAGAGGATGAGGAGAGAGAGAAAGAGAGAGAGAGAGAGAGAGAGAGAGAGAGAGAGATCAGGAATCTGCTGAGTCATCATGACTGGTCTCATGATGATCACTGAGCAGCAGCAACAATAGCTGCCCTTTATTGAACACACACATTTACACACCCAGAGATGAGAGCCGGACCAACACGCCATACAAAGCATCTCATTGAGAGCTTGTGGAGATGCTCATCTGTGGAGCCATGCACTCTAAGGACTGATCTCATCTTTTGCACTTCCCTGCTCCCTCTTTGTTGACTTCTGTGTCTCCGTCCTTTTGTCTCTTGTTAACGCTTTGGTACAAATGCATAAACTTAATTTTATTCAGTTTGTCTCATTGTTGAGCATGCATTTTATCCAGAGTAGACGCAGGTGTGTGTATGTGTTAGAGCTCTAACAGTTGGTTTTCCCCTGGAGTGCTTCCCCACAAATTTGACCACTTCCTCTTCTTTCATGCTCATTTCATTACTATTGGCCTGAAGCCAACCAATAAGAGTTCAACAACACAAAGGTAGTGGGCACTGTCGGTACAACCACCAGGAAACAGGAAGTCAGGGAAATTCTAAGAAAGGTTTATGTCTCACTTTCACTCATTCACTCTGACACAGATGCGTAACACTATAACATGCTCACACAACAGTGCTTGAACAGTAGATTTCGATTTCGTATGTCTCCACTGGTCCAGGTGGGTATCGATTTGTAATTTATCTTTATATTGATCATATAGAGCTTTTATTGTTCTTAAACCCACAGATGCTCCTTTGTGATATTTCTTTGCTCATGTTCTGTATTGTCCTGCATCTCTAGGTCTGTTCCGAAGACCGAGGCTCTTGTGGCATGACGACGACTAACAAAGGAAATAAAGCCTTGAAGGTAAGACATTCATTTTCTGTTTTTATTTGGTTTCCATGTTTCTGTCTCACTCTCATCCTTACCCCTGTTTCCTCCAGGTGAAGCGTGAGCCGGGGGAAAATGGCACCAGCCTGACAGACGAGGAACTGGTGACCATGTCAGTGCGGGAGCTAAACCAGCACCTCCGAGGGCTCTCTAAAGAAGAGATCCTGCAGCTGAAACAGCGCAGGCGCACCCTGAAAAACCGGGGCTATGCCGCCAGCTGCCGGGTGAAAAGAGTCACCCAGAAGGAAGAGTTGGAAAAGCAGAAGGCCCAGCTGCAGCAGGAAGTGGACAAACTGGCCAATGAGAATGCTTCCATGCGTGTTGAGCTGGACGCTCTGAGGTCTAAGTATGAGGCGTTACAAACCTTCGCCAGGACTGTGGCACGGAGCCCCACCGTCGGGGTTGGGGTCAGGGCTGGAGGGGGAGGAGGAGGGGTGGCGTCGTCAGTCATTGGTCCGCTCATACCAGGGAAGGTGGCAACAGCAACAAGCGTAATTACAATAGTGAAGTCCAAAACAGATGCACGGTCTTGAGGGAGGGAAATATAGGTGAGGGTGTATCAGGATGGAGTTCAGCTGCATCAAAGTTATTCTTCTTCTCTGCTGGCCCCCTCTCCTCCACCTGCACTGACTACAAACAGCAGGGCAGTCTTGATCACCTCAGCATCTTCCTGTCGCCTGTCTCAGATCAGTGCAGATGAAAGAAAGGATGGAAGCAGAGGACGATTACTGAGACTATCAAGATGCAAGCCCTCGGTCAGCACTTGATCATTTAGCACCGGACAGACACACAGGGTTCCTACGGTCACTGAGGGCCTGTAAAAGTCAAAGAATTTTTTTTTCATATCAGGCCAGGGGAAAAAGTCTAAAACATGTAAATGACCAAAACACTTTGGAAGAATCATGCAACATTGTTCAGTTGCCATCTCAATCAGTCAGGTGTTTAGTGTGTTACAGCTGCTAGATTTAGATATCCGTATGTTGCATAATAAGCCTGTCACACATTTGCACACTAGATTTGAAGCGGTAGTTTTGCCTGGCAATGGAAATTAGCTACACAACAAAACTATTGTTAACCATACATTACACATTTAATAAAAGCAGAAAGACGGTGTTATGGATTAGTAAATGAAAGATCATTGGACTTGATTGACGCTGAAGGTCCCTGAGCACCAAAAGAATACACAAGTTTAGTGTGATCTGCTGATTTCAGTGGCTGCAGAGAAGTCCCATCTTGCTCGACCTAGCCAAGAACTTTTTCGGAAAAGTACTATAGAAAATATATATTATACAATGGTGGTACCTGTATTTCTACTGTTTTGTACTGTGTTGTCATTCACATGAGGTCCAAAGTGTATTCTCTGTGTGTGAACTGTTATATATCAGGAATTCTGTGAAATTCTGTGCCGCGTGCTTGTTTTGGTATTGCTATATTTAGTTAGCTGTATTTTTTTCTATGGTCTTTTCACTTTCTACGTCCGACTCTCTCTGTCACTTGCTTATCTTTCTCTTTCTCTGTCCTTCCAATTTTTAGTTCCAGCTAGTCTTCATTATTACATACAGTACTTCCTGAATCTAAGAAAAAGACAAGGGAAATGGCAATTATTTATAAAAAAAGAAAAACATGCTATTGAAAAAAGAAGATAAAGTTATTGAAAGTCACTGACCATATCTCGTATGGTAAGAGTTTTCAGGGAAATTGACAATTGAACACCAGAGCTGAGTTAAGATAAAGTTGTCTTGTCTGTTTGATGTTCACTCAGAAGTATATATAATCAAAAAAATGTGGAAGGGCAAGTGCCTTGGTCTCCTAATGATATGCATCTAGAAGAAGTCAAGAGGACACAAGGTGTTGTTGAAGGACAGTGGCGATTTAATGCAGGTGTTTGCTTACACCTGTGCTTAATTGGATACACTGACCAATCAGGAATCGGCTTGTGACAGCATTTAACTCTCACTGTGTTACTGTGTGCGCTGTGTAGTAAGTTCAGTAATATTAACACCCATTTATGTGACTTGGCAGTTCATTTACTTTACTTACAAAAAGTTTCTGTAAAACAGAAATCTGTATTTTTCCTCATGTTATGCAGAATGTACTTTTTAGAAAGGCAGTGTTCTGTTATGAGGAAAAGTCTCTATATCTGTTTTATGTTCTGACTTGGTTCAGATGTTTATGAATTTGATACTGACTCAGAAATCTGGGTTATTACACCTGCAGCAATGTTTTGCTTTAAGACAAAGTGCTTTATGTTGCCTTTAACCCCAAAGCTCACATTGCAAGTGCAAATGTGATCACTGACAACGTGAACTTGCAAGGATAACAAAGACAGTGCTCTGAATTTCCAGTCACACAAATGGGCTTTCATTTCACATTAGCGTTACCATTAAAGCAGTCTTTGTCTATGTATGGTAGAGTCTGGAGTTTTTAAAGACAATTATCTTTGCATTGTTTGTAATGACCTGTAAAAAAAAAAGGTATAACAAAATCTGTTTGATATACAGTATCTCTCTATTTTGCAATTGTACCAAAAGTGGCTTAACTACTGAATAGCTTTGTTTTTTTTTTTCTCTAGTGACTAGGCACGTGTGTGTAACCGTGAACTAGTGTGTGGTGTGCTGTGTCGGTATGTGACGAGGTAACTATAGCATTCACTATTTCATGGATATGACTTTGATCCCTGTTGGATTTCAGGGAGGGTGATGACACCGTAAGTAACTGCACTCTTTCTCTAATCATAATCATCTTTGTCCTTCCAGCCCCGTCTTTCAGCTCCAGCACTGCAGACACATGAGATCACATGTTAATCTGCAAAATTTTAGGGAGTTCTTTTCAACAGACTCATGTGTTTCTGAACCAGTCTATGTGGCTTTATTTTGGTTCTTGCACTGTTCACAGCTCGTCATTGCAGATAATATGACCGATTAGATGAAGAAGTGTTTTGGTTAACCTTACGAGCTGTCTGATACCATCTGGTAACAGACTCAGCAATAGGCCTATATGGCTGCACCGCCCTTACTCCATCAGTAAGTTATTTTTGTAGTGTTTGATAAGAACATTTGTTTTTGCTGTGTACATTTTATATAACTGTCTATTTAATGTTGTTTCTGTTTTGTTTTTGAACTGTTATCTACATGTCAGGGAAGCTAAACAACATTTGTGTTTTCATAGTTGCTGTTTTATGAAGTGGGAAAAAAAAATCTGTTCTGCTATTGGTTTGTCTGTCAGAGAGTAAGGTTTACTGTTATGATGTATAATTGCCTCAGTTTTTTTAACCACAAAAACCCTTAGTTAAATTAAGTCATTTACTGACACAGAAGCAATTTACAACGATAAAAACATTACATACATGTCGCCTTTTTATCTGAACCACTGTTTTCCACTGTGACGAATAAAGGGGTTAGCTAGCTACTGATGTGCAGTTACTAAGGTTAGTGGGGTGTGTCCTCATCTGTGTCCTACATTAATATAAAATTAATTTAAACATATAAATGAGTACAAATGTAGGAAGGGAAATGGATTTGAGATTTTCAAATATTATTTCTCCATTATCTTTATACCAATAACCATTTGCAGATTCAGTCAACCATCAAACCAGAGAGCTGAAAATGTCTGCAACATTATTTAAAAATAGGAATATACTCCACGTTATTCAGCTAAATGCATATAGCTATCACACCCAGTGTTTCTTTATAAGATTTGTGCTGTTTTCTATGAGAAGAATTCTTATTTGATTTTCTACTGGAGTTTTTAAAATATATTCAGTCACTGTTGCTTCCTTCCTGTCATGTTTTTTTTTTGTTTGTTTTTTACTGGCAAGTCCTGTGTGGTGTTTTTTTTAGTTTTTATTTTTTTTTACTGGCAAGTCCTGTGTGGTGTGTGTGGTCACGATTGGTATAAAGTAGGAAGAAACTGAACATGGGCTAAGACCAGGTTTTGTTATCTTCAACCAAAATATGAACCTTGTTGGTGCTTGTCAAACTCTACATAATTAATGTGCCACTGTCAAACAATGTTTTCACCTACTTTGTGTTTTTTATGCTCATCTAGTTGTATATGTGTCAACATGGTGGCTGCTGTTAAATAGACATCTCTAATTATGCAAACTGTGTGGGGCAAAATTAGAACTCCTGGCACACAGGAGCAGTGATGCTATCGTAGTCACTGTGTCAAGCTGTCTGCTGTATAATTGCAGACCCAGTGTGATGTGACAAGGTTAAAGAGCTTATATACAGTGTTTAGCAATTTATACTAGGTTATAAATGCTTGTGCCAGTTTGTCTCTGTTAAATCTGGCTTATGTATTGTGGCTGACCTTGCTTTTCCCCTTAACAAATTTTTGTGAAAACATTAAATTATTCTTTATCAAGTTCCAATATAAAATCTTGCAAAGTATACAGTAGCTGTCATGCAAGGCCTCTAGTTGAACTTCAGAATATCTTTTTGGCCAAGTATGTTTAACACACACACACACACACACAAGGAAATTGTCTCGCCCCTAGAGAGAGTGTTCAACCAAGGCAGCCATCTGCAGCGCCATTATTCACACACACCAACGGTGGCACTGCCCTGGCTGTCGGGAGCAACTTGGGGTTCAGTATCTTGCCCAAGGACACTTTGACATGTGGACTGGGGAGAGTGAGAATTGAACTGCTGACCTGTGGGTTAGGAGAGAACTCAGTCTACCTCCTGAGCCACAGCTGCCCCATTATTTTTGCCTCTCGGATGTGACTATCTTGTGGTTGAAGTTTCTCCATTATGAAGCAGTGTGTGTTTCTGGTTCAGCTTTTGCTCAGCAGACAACAGTGACCTTTAGTGATGATCAGACAGGTCAGCTTGGTGGCTTTTTCATAACAGAGATTATGAGGTTTTAAGACATGCTGACCTTATTCTCCACTGCCTGTACAGAGGTTGTACTCTCCTTATGAAAAGGACTTTTCATCACAAACCCAAGCAACCACTCCTAAACCACATCTATAAATATTTAACAGAGGCAGAAAGGAGAGGTTGAGACACATCTGATACAACTCCTAACCGTTCCCCGCTCCACTTTTCCTATCCCTTTGTACAGAGTGTCTACAAGTGACCTCAGCAGGCCCTTCAAAACATCCCATTCTTCTAGAAGATGCAAATCATTAACTCCTTATCTTGCTGTTTGGCCAATCAGTGTGTAGTCATTCAGCTGTTTTCCTGTCTAGTGAATCATGCCACTGGACTCTAAAAGCCCTTTCACCCACCCATTCCGATCGATGACAGTAAATGAACCGAGGAGTCCTTTGATCATTGTTTGGCCATTTAATCAATAATACTGTGTGGTTTTCCATCCAAGTTGCTCTCTGTACATCCTTTAATATAAAATCTGACCCAGGGTTCAGGTACATATGACTAACTTATTGTCATTTTTTTCACTTTTTGTTCAAACATTCTTGCTCTCACATTTTTCCCCATCAAACCATGTGTGTTTGTTCATGAGTGTTCGGCCAGGTTACTCATGGGAGCTGGGATATTTTTGTGTTTCTAAAAGTATATCTTGGTCAATTTAAAGCTATAGGAAAGTAGTGAGTTTGTGCGAATATGGCGCAGCCTATTCAGAAAAGTCCTTGTAATAGGAACTTCTGTGTTTTGTAAAATTTCTGTATGGGGTGTAATAAATTATTCTACAGCAGTACTTTCTATGGGAAAATACTTAAAATGTGACAGTCTTTGTAAGTATTTAGCTTCAACTAAATTATTGTACTTTTTGTTTTCAATTTGTAGACACAAGTGATGATGAAAAGGTATTGGTAATCATGATAATTAACTGTTTCATTATCAGTCTGATGCATCTTTTAATTTATTGGTGTATATATTGTATGTTTGTTGATAAACAGCTTATTTTATTTTGTATATGATCAATAAACATGTTTAAAAATGAACCAGTTTCAGTGCACTTTGTAATTAAGGAATTTTTAGTATTATTTCAGTACTTTTATTATATACTGTTTGTATATTAGGTTGCCAAGCTAAAAGCCTAATAGTTTAAGCAGATATCATATGGGATACATTTAGAATAAATGTAGTGGATTAACAGTTCCTACTAAGTTATAAATATTGTTTATCTTGAATGCTATTATTATCATAACCTTATTTTCTTTATTTTTTTGTGGAAAAAGATCTGAAACATAAGGACAGATACAGTACAGCTGAGTTGTAGGCTAATTGATTCTGTTTATTAAATAAGAGATGATTTGGATGAAACAAACGCCTCTGCATTCATGGTCTCTCATGTGATTTAATCAGCCGCAGTCAAGATTAATATTGTTTAGAAAGAGTAATCATAACCATTTCTATACAGTACATGCAATATAAAGGATGAACTTGTTATCAGTGAGAAGCTTTTCTGCAGCAACAATATGCATATAATGCAAAACCGTGCTGCCTTGTAATGTAACTAAATTACTGCATTGCACTGCCATAATACCTGTAACGCAGTCGTCATTTATGTTATTAATTCCACTCGTGCATTTCGTGTTGAGACAACTTTAAAATGTCTGCTGTGGAAAAAAGTCTACTGATGCACTGACTTGAATTATTTTTATTCATTCACTGACGTAATAAGGTAGCGTTACTCTATGCTTTTGCATTCAAATAGGAAGTCCAAGATAAATTTACCATATGTCATGTAGCTTTTAAGTAGTTGACACTGTCAATTATGGGAATCGAGGGCAAATAAATCCCCAAATATCTAGAAAAAGAACCGCAATTCTGGAGGGATAATGATTGTTTACAAAATAATGTGGACATAAATGAATAGTTTCAAATGGGTCCGGTGTCAACAGACTTAATCTGAGGTCTCCAATTAAGTGCACAATTTGAACGTCTAACTTATTTTAGATCATTGTAAGCAAATGCTCATGTCTTTGGCCAGTCCAGCCTGTAGATGGCAGTATGCAGTTAGCAGCAGCTCTGCTCACCTCACACTGCCTGGGTGGGGTGAAAACATGGAGCGCCAGGACAGTTTGTACGTTAATAATATAGGATTTAGCAAAAGAAGATAGTGTTTATTTGTTAGTTAATCTAACATGCGTACTTAGTTAAAGTTGAATATCTGTTTAATTGGTATATTTGTTGTTTGAGCTGGTAACGCCACGTTAGTACTGATGGTAATCCACTTCGGGATTTGAGTGCGACCCGACTGTTGCCAACTGTCGCTGTCTGTTGCTCCGGGACGAGAGGCGGGTAAAAATGTAAACACGGATCCATCCTGATGAAGACGGTTGTGTGGTGGCCTTCTACAGCTGTATGCGGTGCCGTTACATCAACAGTAACATTTCAGGGTTGTTCTGCTCTTGCTGCCTCTGTGCTTGTTCCTCTTTAACATATTTTCACTTTACCATTTTGGTATTAAATGCTAACGAACTAAGTACACTTTAGCTAGCCTAGCTAGGTTAGCTAGCTAGTGTTACAGCCAACACTGGCAAAGACCACAAAATAACGTTGCTATATTAATGTTAGTTAGCCCTTAAACTACCTGACATTACTGCCTACCGTATCCTGATGTAACTTGATGGAGGACTACGGCAAGTTTGTGCAGCATCTTCTTTCCCAGCTCAGGAAGGGTGAGGAGGAGAAGCACAACAAAACTTCACTTTCATCCTCTCTCATTCGCTTCTATGGACATCCCATCCTTCCCCCCCTGGTACGTTCTCAGCTTTAGACAATCCCTATTAAAATCATCACTGGGTATTTTTAATCTCAGACGCACATGCTTTAAAGGCTAGTGAAGGATGTAATTGTGCTGTGTCAATACTGTACTGTCACGCTGCAACTGTTTTTGTGGCACAGTGCTAAAATAATTAGTAGACTAAGTTAATATCATTACTTGACAGCTTAAGTATTTATATACGCCAGTTATTATATTAACTGTAATACTGAACTTGACACACACCATATTATATTGTCAGATGTTACTTTTTGCCTGTTACAGTCACTTGTAAATTTAAGATGCTGTATTTGGGTTTTAGTCTCTGTTTAGAAAAAAACAAGTCATTTGGAAAAAATCACTTAGGGGTCTGGTAATTTCTGATGTGCATTTTTCACTGTCTGGGCATTTTATAGACCGAACAATTAATTGGTTAAACAAACACCATAGAAAAACATAACTGGTAATGAAAATAATCTTTAGTTGTACTTATCATTGGACAGCAGACATGGGATGTCTTACACCTTTCATATGATAACAGCTCTCACAGGAGCAGAGAGAGGAGATGCAGCAGCACAGAAGTGCAGCACAGAAAGCTGCTGCCCATAGAAAGTCAAAGGCTGATCCAAGAATGGCCTGTGTGCAAGCTATTCTGCACAGCGTTCAGGTAATTTAAGCACTGACTTTAGGCAAACCCAGTATCTGTCTGTGTATATGCTTCTACATTATATGAGAGTACATTTAATGTTTTAATTGTTTTCTTTTATCAACTGCAGCTGAGGAAGACACCAACACTAGAGGAATTGCTTCAGGAGCCACAGATTAACACAAAGTCTTCATATTCCCGTAACACCAGCGGTGGAGCAGTTTCACAGAGTAATTTTACTGCTGGAACAAAGGATAATCTGTCACTCTTGCCACCACCTGTAAGAAAAAGAAAGGATGGTGTTTCCCTTTTTCCACTCACATCAACAACAAATAGTGCCTTTGTCACTTCTAATGTGACACCTCAGCAAAGTTACCAAGAAGGATGCCTTACTGACCAACAGGACAGCCAACAGGAATCACAGCCAAGTTCTGTTAATGGTCCGAGCCACCAGTCAGTATCCTCAGGTTACATGACTTATGAGAATGTTGATAACGCCACCGGTGTCTCTGGCAGCACTGATTTAGGTAGGAAGAGCCATGGCTTTGGCTCCTCAGAGGGAGTTTACAACACAGGTGGCTTTTTTCTTCTCAACACCTCAAGCACAATTTCTAAGATGCCGGATATTATTAACCACCCTCCCATGGATGGAGAGGAATTAGAGAGGAGTGGACTAGAGAAGACTTTTTGTAGTAACTTTCTAACCGTAAAAGACATC